CGATGTTCCGTATCTCATTATTAGCAGAGTATGTTTCTTAGTTAGCATGTTATATGATTGTATGTGTTTAGCGGGCGGGGCCCGGAGACAGGTGAGGCGTAAGAGAGACAGAATTGTATACCGAGCGAGGCTCGATGTCAGGCAGGGCCTGATGTCGGGCAGGGCCTGATGTCGGGCAGGGCCCAATGTCGAAGTATTAAATAAATGGTTTGATAATTATGATTTTAGTATTAAATTAAAAACGAAATTTTTGGTCAAATTTTTGGGATGTTACACAGTTAAAACAAGTTAGTTGCTTTCTTATGTACAAAAAATAAGAAGTTGCCAACATGTGAACACAGATAAGAGGTACTTACCCTTCTAAGTCATTTTTCCTTTGAGTTACCGGTTAAAACAGGTATTAACCGGTAATATTTGTGTAATTTAAACAGTTAAAACAAGTTAGTTGCTTTATTATGTAAAAAAAAAAAAAGTTACCAATATGTGAACACGGATAAAAGATAGTTATCTCCTAAGTCATATTCCAATAAATTTAAAGCAGCGTGCTCTTTTGGTGGGTGTATTGCTCTTGTAAAATGCATTTTGGGTAGTCACCCGCTCTATTAGTTTTCCTTTTTAAGGTCCTGCCCAAAATTATCTAGTCACTTGAAAAAATGCGTAGTTTTTTTGGGTGGAAATGAGTTTAAATAAAATGTAAGTTGGTTTTCTTGGAACAATGCACTTAAGCCGGAAGAAAAATGGGGTATTGGTGTTGGTTCTTTTAAGTAGCTTAATTTAGCCCTTCTCACTTAATAATGGTGGGCGTTAAAATTAAAGCTCAATCTCTTTAGGCTAGGTTTATCTTTTAGATGTTAAAAGTTCGATTCCCAAAATGTGGGTTAAAATCACGCTTATTAAAAATGGTTTTTTAGAGCTTGGAATCTTTGTAGAAAGCCTTTTTAAGAGAATTATCAGGTGTAAGATTCTACTTTTTTTTTTTTTTTAAAAGGACATATGAAAGAGAATTATCAGGTGTAAGATGCTACTCTTTTTTTTTGAAAGGACATAGCTTGGGTCGGGTCTTTTATTGAATGTTTTCAAAGCTTTATGTCATTGATTCTCAAATGGGATGCCTAGGGGTGCAAACGAATCAAGTCGAGCCCAATACTAGCCAAGTTCGGCTCGGGCTCGTTTAAGTTATACAAGGCTCGAACTTAAGCTTGGCTTGATTTGAACTTTATTGTACTGATTTGGCTTGAGCTCATAAAAAATTAGACAAGCTCAGCTTGTTTTTTTCTAACATGCCTAAATAAACTTAAGCTCAGTTTGAGTTTGTTAAGAAGTTCGGTTACTAACAACCCTAACTCCCTAGTTCCCTAAATATGTTTTCATTTTAATATAAAAAAATAATAAATTTTATTATTATTATTATATATATATATATATATATATATATATATATATATATATATATATTCTCGTTTAAGCTCGTGAGCCTAATAAAAGCTTGGTGACATAGGCTCGTGCTTGAGCTCGTTTAATAAATAAGCTTAATATTAAGTTCAAGCTCAGCTCGGGCTCGTTTAAAATTGGTTTCGAGTCCAGCTTTTAACGAGTCGATCTCAAATAGCTCACGATTAGCTTGACTTATTTGCACCCCTAGGGATGCCTTGTTGATCTCTTAAAGTTAGATGATGGCGTATTTTGTTTGATACAATTGAGATGATCAAGGCTATCATGGACAGGGATCGAGACTCAACAATTTGAAGACTTATCAAACATTAGTTATGCTCTTAATCTTTCTTCCGATATAGATAAATGAGATAGAATTGTTGATAATTATAAATGCTTTTCACTCCGATACTTAAGGCTTTACGTTTAGCTTCCCTAAGGTAGAGATTTTTTTGATGTGTTAGGAAACTTTAAATGGTTGAAGTGGGTCTAATTAAATTCCAATTTGTATCGTCCCAAAAATGCAGAGTATGATTTTTATTTTGAAAACAATAAGCCATACAATTAAGTTGTTCCATTACCAATCAAAGTAAACATCAGAGTAAGAATCATAAGTAGCCAATGCGGAAACTCTAGGGGATACAATATAGTCACACGAGGATCTTCCCTTTAGAACCAGAAGTACCTAAAAGCATAAAACATAAAAACGTAAGCATAAAGCTTAGTGAGTTCCCCAAAATACCACATAACATACATAAAATAAAGATTACTATGTGTCATCCATAGTCTTACAATTTCGATTATGCCATGAGCCGTATCATGGTCTTTACTTACCAAGTTGGGGGCCAAAACTCGGGTCTTACAAAGAAGTGCCAAGAGCTACATTCTAGTCTTCCATGAAAGTATCACAAAGACAACCAGCATACTACATATAACTGCCAAGGTTCAAACCGTAGTCTTTCATATAATTTTTTAGGAGCCGTATTCAGGTCTTTCATGCAATTTACAGGTGCCACAACCTGGTCTTTCTACATAACATAGTCCTATGGTTCAACATTGGTGCCTTCAACCCATGTGTACATTGAAGAGACTCACCTGAATCACAAAACCAACTAAATCTCAGCTCAATGGCTAATGTTGACTTTAGTTCAATTGCCACGTTTTGGCCTTCCTTGGCCACATCGTGGCCCTCACCCATCCAAACATCCAGGAAATTCCAAGTCCCCACGTCGTGGTGACCTATGGCCACGCCGTGGGTGCTGGGTTTCCATCAGCTAAATGGATTAAGTTACTTTCCTCGATTTCAAGAGCTCCAAAGCTCACATCTGGTCCTTCATATTGTCTAAATGGATAAAGTTTCCAACTTTATCCATTAAGACACCCAGGGAAATCAAGATCTCCAACCTTAAGTCTAAATGAAGCCAAAAACCACCATGTCTTAACCATTAAGCCCTTAATCTAAAAATTCCTTAACCCAAGCACTCCATAAGGGTTTTCTAATACTGGATCCATCATAAATATGGAATCTTTATAGACATGTATTTCCAATAAAAGTCTAGAATCCATTTTAGGTTAAAATGAGCTCTAAAGGCCGAAACTCAAGCTAATGTCAAGAACTTCTACCAAGCACTTGATCCACAACATATGATGCTCTTGGGATTTAAGAAAATGTCATGGGATTAGGCCAGAACAACTACCACGCCTTGGCTTTCCTTGGCCACACCTTAGTGATTCAACTAATACACGATCCTTCTAATTATTTCCATGCCATGGCATCCTAGCACCATGTCTTGGCACAAAGTCTCTTCCAAAATCTTATCTTTGGTCCTTGATAAACGTAAGCTTAACCAATCTGGAACACGGGTGTTACAGTTTACCCCATTTAAATTAGATTTTTTTTCTTAGAAAACGCTCCTTACTACTTCCCAGGCTATTCGGACAATCCTTCCAGGATGTCGATTCGAACTAAGAAGTTAATTCTTATAGACGACTGCCTTCTAATCAAAACCCTATCTTTGTAGGACTCACATGCCCAGGCGATGAGCAAATCATTTCCCCCACTAATGTTAGCCAATGAAAATAACCATCACTACTCTTCCTAACATCAAAGAATCTAATATCTTGTGTAACTTATTTTCATACAAAATCATTCTGAACACACCATTAATACGACACCACTTCGCAACCCAAACCAAAGAAACAATTATGACCCTGATTTATCACACTAATACCAGAGAAAAGAACTTTGAACATTCGCCAACACCTATAACCTTGTACTCAAAAACAAACTCAACCCACAACACGAGTCTCAATCATTAGTTCCTAACCAATGCACAATCACGTCTTGCCAACCAAACATTCACATTTTCGATTTACCCAATATCTCTTGAGCTCTGAGCTGTTCTACAAATTATCTGAAGCGTCGAATTCCCAATTGTTCGTTGAAACCAACATCCTGTCACATGACCATACAACAAGCCTCTAATCAAAAGGCTATCTGGCAAAAGCTACCCTAGCCTGCTTACATATAAGGCTCCAACATCCCTCCTTCTCCAACTATTAACAACATAACCAACCTTTATACGGATGAAAATAGCCCACTTTGATCTAAGTAAATGCTACCAGCCTAGCTATAGTCTTACATCACAATCGACCCCAGATTGGCCTACAACCTTCATTAATCCCACAAATATTGTGGTCCTCCTATAGTCTCATAACCCATCATGCGAGGGTCTAACTCTACCTAGAGAAAACTACAAGCCAAATTGTAGATTCACAACACCCTCAAAATTGATCATTGACTAGGTGAATGCTATGGTCCACCCTGCAGTCTTACAACACTTCTGCCACTGCATGCCATCCTATTGAATGCTACAACCCACCCTGTAGTCTTATGACACTTTTACCACTACCTGCCAACGTAGTGAATGTTATGGCCACTCTGCAGTCTTACAACACCTCTACCACTACCTACTAACCTAGAGAATGCTACGGCCACCTGGCTACGACACTTCAAAATTATTGAGAAACCTCAACTGATAATGGAGAACTACCAACTCGATTATTGTATGGGTGGATAGCTAATCCATCGACCTACTTACTATGGGGGTCATTCCCATGTGAGAATGAAATCGACCACACTCGAAAGTATGAACTTGACAACTGCCAATCTTAGACCCATGATCATACCAATTCTTCATTGCATCGCAACTACGAAAGATTCCTACAAGACCTACATTCAAATTTGGCATGCTCATGATGCATTCCTTGGACTCCTTCCTGAAACCACCACAAATCAAACTGATTGCTGGTCTCCCAAGTTGAATACTCA